CCTGCTGGCTGCTCTCAGGTGACAGCCCCCATTCTTTGGGTGTGTCCTTGGCCCATCAAGTGCCATTGTTCCACAGGGCTTTGCTACTCAGCCTGTCCATAGCCATGCTTAACCACATTCAGAGAAATATTCAGCTTCCACACAGATTACAGATTCCTACCTACACACACAGACATTATACACTCACATAAATAGCGTACATAAGATCAGCAAACAATAAGCTCCCATTCAATACCCCACATGGCTCCCTTTTATACCAAGTTCTGGGGCCAACACCCCCACCTAGGGATGCAGCAGCGATCTGGCTGCTTCCCTCCAATTCGGTAATGTGACACTACTCCAGGGCCTCCCAGCCAGGGGCTGACCCGGAGGCCTACTCTCATTATGAGGCCCTGGATGGCATCCTAGGGGCTCACGCCGTCCATGCCTCCCGGGTGGTGATCGACCTTGGGGCAGAGGGCCACATCCCTGACACGGAGGAGGAGGAGGATGCCGAGAGCCAGGAGCCTGCAGGGAGCCTGCCCAGGACCCAGGACCCTTGAGCACCCCACAGAGCACATCGGCTGTGTCTTCCAAGGCCGAGGAGGGCTCCACATGTGAGTGCCATCATGCTCCCCTTATGTGCATGGGAGGGATGGGGGGAGAGGGAGCCCAGGGACCATGCGCCTGGGCCTTGCCCACCATGGAGCAGCAGCTGGGTGTCATGCAGGGGCCCTGGCTCGTTCCCCACACGCCGTGTGTTCAAAAATAGAATCTTTCTTTATTGAACAAAACTTCAGCTTAGAGAAGAGACGGAGGGGGGATATGATAGAGGTCTATAAAAGCACGAGTGGTGTGGAGAGTGTGCATAAAGAAAAGTTCTCCATTAGAGAACTTTTAAAGGACACCAAAGTAAAGGAATGGGTAGCAGGCTTCAAACTAGTAACAGAAAGTTCTTCTTCACAAAGCAAAGAGTCAACCTGTGGAACTCCTTGCTGCAGGAGGCTGTGAAGGCTAGAACTAGAACAGAGTTTAAAGAGAAGTTAGATCAAGTCATGGAGGTTGGGTCCATGGAGTGGTATTAGCCAGGGGGTAGGAGTAGTGTCCCTGCCCAAGGTTTGTGGAAGGCTGGAGAGGGATGGCATGAGACAAATGGCTTGGTCACTGTCTTCGGTCCATCCCCTCCAGGGTCCCTAGGGTTGTC